TCACATGTATATAACCTGGGGGTAGAAAAGTACTTGTCTGGGTCAGGGGAACTGAAGGAAATATAGATCCTTTAGGGGAACTGAAGCGTTGACAAAAGAGAAGAAATAGCTGTCAGGATCTCTTAGGCTTAAAGGCAGGAAATTACCAGCTGAGTCAAAGTTGGCCAAGTCCATTCTCCATCTTCCTCCAACTCCTACCTTTTTGGACAGAGAAGAAATAGCCAACTGGTCAGGGGGAGAGTGAACTGGGAGAAGGTAATGATCAGAAGGACTAAGCCCCAGGCAGCTCCCTGGCCTGAAACAGATCTTAGCTGGGAGAGAGTACAATTAATTCTAGGCCAAATTTGAAGTTTTGATTGCTACTTGGGATTGGGTTTTATAGTTCCAGAATTGAGAGTTTGTCTTTTTTTTAAAAGTAAATGCAGAATTCTCAGCTAACTAAGGATGAGAAAAAAAGCCATAATATCTATTCAGTTCGTATCCTGGGTAAGGTTACTTAGGTGAATAAAGTCTAAAGGAAGGGCAAGAAATAAAGTTGTGTCAAGATTATGTCACAAATCTTGCTTGTTCAATACAACACTCCATTATGACTTTATACATACAGATTTTTTCCTCTAAAATGCAACGCTTCAGTTTATTTCCCTTAAGAATTCTTGGTGACCTTATAAGTTTTCAATCATTTTACTTAATAATAAAAACATTTGTGTTACCATGTCTCTTTGAGTACAATAGAAAATGAAAGTAAACCTGTAAGCTTCTCCAATAAACAAACAACATTGTATGCTTGTTGCTGACCAGCTTACAAGATCCACTCCCTGCCCTTCCCTGCTCTCCTCCATACTATAGGGAACCAACCCAGCAAACTAGGTGTCCCAGCTTCTTTCACTAACTTGATGCTTGCTAGAGTTGCCCATTGAGAGGCACTGGTGAGAGATTAGAGAGTGAGAAGGGAGCAACCTTTATTTCTTCCCCTTTTTCTCTGACTGATGGGTACAGTGTAACCAGCAGTGGTCATGTCTCCTCCTTGGCTCCAACTTCCATTGGGCAGACCCCCTTCCGTGGTCCCACTTCCTACTGTGACAGCCCCTTCCGCAGTCCCAAACTCTGACTGATAACACCAATCTTCCATTTGAATTGCCTCTCATATTCTATTTGAAGTTTTAACGTTTCAGTTTGTAAACAGCTCTCCATGTTAATACCTCTTTACCGAACTACTTAGCATAAATTCTATTTCGCTGACTGGATTTTGACTCCTAACACCATTGTTAATATTTTGGGGACCTTAGGGAATTTACATTTGTTTTGTTTTAGTAACATATATAGTCTAAATAATACTCATCCTTCTCTGCTTCTTGGAGATTTAGGTAAACTTGGTCCAGAACTCTAAAGCCAGATCCTTGCCCATAAATTCTACACATTCTGACAGCCTATTTCCTCACTGGTTTTCACTATTACAAATTTTTTAAATTGTCTATAGTTATCTTTTAAATTTAATCTTTCAAGTAAATTGAAGATATCTTTAATTCGGAACATTCTCTCTCTCTGTGCGTATATATTAATTATATGTACTATGTATTTACATACAATCTATATTGTCTCTTTTCTCTGTCTTTGTGTCTTCATCTCTCTTTCTCTCATCACATAACCATGGACACAAAATCAATCTCATTGTTTATCATTTATATACTTCCTCTGTGTCCTAATTTATAGTGTTGCCAATATAATTGTCAAATTCTAAAGAAAGTGTAATTCATCTCCCTCTCTAATGTGTTTTTATCTAGTTCATTTATTTTTCATGACTTTTGCTGTATATAATTCAATGTTATGGCACTTGATGAGTAAAAGATCAGAACTATTACATATTTTGATGAATCACAGCTTGTGTCAATGCCAAAAAACCTCTTTCTTCCATTTATGCTCTATATTGAAATTTAGAAATTTTTTGGCTCAATTAAATATTGGCAAACCGGACTTATCTCATGCACACTTACATGACATATTTTTGCTCAAGCATTTATTTTAAATAATTTTAGGTCTTCATTTCATTTCTTTATGTGTAGCATTCAGATAGAATTTGCTTTTTTACCTAATCTTAGAATTTTTTCTGTTAATAGGAAATTAATATATTCACATTTGTTATGATTACCAATACTACTGTGTGTTGTTTCTACTAATTCAATTATTTTTCTATTTTCAATGCTTTTTAGTTGTCTGACTTTTTCTAGATTTAAATGTTTCCTTTGCTCTTTTTGGCTTTCTTTTTGTAAATTCTTGGGGTTTAGAAATCATATGTACTCATTAATCAATTAATCTTCTAAGAGTAAGCAGATTAAAAATGTATCTTTAGATCTAATTACATAATCTCGTCCCTCCTCCACCACCCAACATTTTCGCATACATTCAAGAGGGCAGAACGTAATCACCTTAAATATCATTCTGCTTATGATTAATAGCATCACTTTAAATGAACAGATGGCCAAATCTAGAATAATAAGAACAGAAGATTAGTTTGAAACAACTATAGGGAAATTTCGTTAACACAAAAGTTAATAAAATAACCTTATGCATACAAAAGAGGCATCATCATTTTAACATTAGAAATCCAAGGGATTATCTAGGCATACTTTGAAAAAAATACAGATATTCAGTACAGTTATAGACATTACTTTTGAAAAGAAGGAAACTATTCTACCAAATGACTCTTTAATCCAATAGAAGCTCAGTATAGCAGAAATACAATTTGTAAGTTCAAAAGAAGTATTACATCCTAATAAAACTCTGTATAGAGTCAATTTTTAAAATATGTTCATTTTAGAAAACAACAAGGGATACCATATTATTGTCTTCTGTGGGTGAGGTGGGAGACCCTTGTTTCCAGTAAGATCATAGGTAGTGTCAAGGGAGGCAGACATGGCACTACCACAATCAGCAAATTAAGAAATCTGATTACATGCCTCGACGTCTGCAATAGCCCAGTAAATACCCAACTTTCCTTCAAACTTTGCTGTATAAATTCCGTAAACTGCTGTGCTTTTACATTCCTTTAGCTTTCCTACCATGAATAAATGCAGTAACATTACACTGAAATTTAGATTAATTGAGCTCTTTTAGGCCAGGGATGCTCTGTCCTACACGTCTTTACAACCCAGTAGTTGGCACAACGCTTTGCAAAGAGTAAGTAATAGTTTATTAACTAACAATTAAACCCTAACTTTGGAATATAAAATTAAATTATAGATTTTATAATAGACTTTTTGATATCTCCTTTCATAGTTGAACTAAGTAAAAAAAAATACAACCAACAATAAAAGAATTATATCTATTTGGGCAGAAGCAGAAAACTCAACCTAAAGTTTAATTCTCAAGAAAGGGTAACTTGCATCACTTTGATTTTCTCCGTAACTGTTACTACATACATTTATCCATGACAGTCAAACATTTACAAATTGCAATGTTCCATTCTGGGCTGAGTTCTTTTTAATTTTAAGAATTTCTGCTAGTACTTTACGGTGCCCCAACAGTACTAGACTCCTATTTCTCTTTGACTATTTAGACCAGTTGAATTGTAATAATGCATTTACACATCTGTCTTCCTCACTAGAACATAAGGGCAGGCACACATGTCCATGTTTGTACACATAATGCCTGTGATAGATTAAACACTAGTACACGTTGGCTGAATGAGTCTTCCTCATTGCCAATAAGGGAGAAACACTTAATTACAGGAAAACTTATCTAGCTTTAGGTGTAGGAGCAAATAACAGGCAGGAACATAAGCGTCAGTATCCCCTTGCTTTTCATTTTCACATTTTCCACTTTTTTCTTTATCGCTGTGATATTGGTATTCACATCTCATGGCCCCTAGCATAGCTGGTGAGGAAGTGCTATGATTATGTAAATTCTTACTTTAAAATTAATAGTAGAGTACATGTTGATGAATATTACTAGGTTACTACTTTTATTTTATTTTGAATAAATAAATATTTATATTTGAGTTGTTTACTTGGGTAAAAGAGAGAAATATTTATGGGAGCTTTTAGTTAAAAAGGATTTGCACCAAGTTTAACCTTAACTTAAATATTTCTTATCAAATTTTTCCATTGCCCTTGAGAACTCCAGTCTGTGTTTTCTTTAGACAATATTCTTGTGGCCTAATAGGGGCAAAGGGGAAAAGGGGCATTAAATGAAAGTTTCTCTGACTCTTTTTTTTCAATAATGTGTTGTGTAGGCCACTTTAAAACAACTCCCAAAGATGTTTCAACTAGACATTGATAATACTTACACAGTAATAACATTCAATTTTGGTAATTGAATCTTCCCTGAAGTAAAACCAAACCCCTGGGGAAACAATATATTTAGATGTCATACAACTGTAAGTGCCGTCATTGTTTAGGCTGGATAGACTTAGAAAGTAAATTCGAGACATTCCATAAGCTTCTTATTACGCTGCTTAGCAAAACCAAGGACAGAGACTATCCCAACACAAGTAGACCTTAGGACGAGAGCCTAAAGGTTTGCTTTCAATCAGGTCGTTTACAAAGTAAACCCAAGCAAAGTTTTCATGTACGTTTCACTCAAAGCCATTCACCCATTGCCACTAAATTTCTGTGACTTATGTACAAACCAAAAAACCAGAAGTCATAAATAAATTAAAGTCAATCTGAAATCTATCAGTTTAAAAATCAAATAGCCCCAGTTGGAAAATCAATTTTATTTTTCTACTTGGAAAGTATGGCCAATGTTTTCACAATAACGAGGATGACTAAAATGGGATGATCTTTACAGAAGGATTAACACTATTTCAAGAATTGCAACCCAGTTCATCCTGCATCCATGAGCCTGAGCAAGACCAGCCCTGAACAGAAGAGCCAACTTCCCACCAGCCTGCGGCGACATCATCCTGCCATCCTGGAGGACCCCGCCCATGTCTCCTAGGTACCAGGTATGTCACAGCTAGCTCTTAGTGTCCCTACCTTTGCAGAACAAGGAGGATGTGATGGGTTCAGTTTGAAACTGTGTAGCCTAAGCATGTGAAGGAAGCTGTACTCTTCCCCTGGGCATAAATGAAAGGTAAGAGAGGCCTCTCTGAGAACTAGCTCCTTAACTCAAACTCTCTATCTAACTTTTGATAAAGAGGTTAGACTCAAACTTTCAAACTGCATTTTAAGCACCACATTCTTCTATCACTCAGCCAATTGTGTGTTAATTCTTCATAGTTAAACCTTTAGATAACAAGATAAGCTCAAGGAGTGGTCTGAAGGACCTGTGCAATATGAAGAGAAAATAAAATGAGTAGTAGTTAAAATGAACAAAATTTAATGTTTTGTAATAACCAGAAACTTCTTGGAAAAATATAATTATTTGGTTACAAAGTATAAAAAATTTGAGTATATACCAGGACAATGCATGATCATTACAATAAGTCAGATATGTTAGTTTTAATAAAGAAGTTTGACACGGAACATGTGCTTTGTCCACCAATTGCACTCTGTGACTAGGTTAAAGATTCCATTTCTGATTGCTGATCCTTTTAAGGAGTTTTGTGAATTAATCAAGAGGAAAATAGGTTCATCATCAGTAGAGTCTAGGGACTCAAATCTAGTGGAGTTTTGATATGCCCTGTCAGGATAAAATTAATTCTAGATTATTGCCCACCAAGATCTGCTTTCTACTAGATAAAGCTTTACTCTGGTTTCTTCTAAATAGAAAACATTTTTATAAATGAGCAATAATCTTTTATGAAGAGGAAATAAGCATGAATAATTTTGGATGATTCTATTCTGGGGAGAAGCTGGCCTGCAAGGAAATATTTTTACTTTGTTCTTGTGCACCTCATGCCCCTTAATTTGATGGATAATAGACAGAGGTCATAAAAGCAAGCCCCACCTATTCACACACTCAATCCAAAATGAAAAACTTTATAGCAACACCAAGAGGAACAGATTCAGATTATTATAAACAGCTCTGAACAATTGACTTTCCTCACAGACTACATTAAATAGAAGTGCATATTTCTTAAAAAGTTTGTCTGCATATTTCTAGGCATTAAATTAAATTTTCCCATTGCATTTGTCATTTCACTGCATTCGCTTTCCATTTGAGTTTTCATTGATTCTAGAATGCAAAAGAACCAGGCTTAAAATCCTGGGATTTCACCCTTAAATTTTTTTATTTTCAACTCTCTTAGGAAGATATTATATGTCCACTCTGTGTACAAAGTTCTGTGATTATAGATTTTCCTTTTATAATCCCACTTCTTTGAAACTTCTATTTCTGTATACAAAATTATGTAAATCTGTTAAGTCTACAACAGATATGACCCTTTAACATGTATTCCAGCCATCTTGTATCAACACCAGTTTAATATTCTAAATACAACTTATGATAATAATAGCCTAGATGACTAATTTACCCATGCCAAGCATTGACTAAGTATTCTATATGAATTATTCGTTTAATCCTTATGACAACCCTGTGAAATAGGCACTATTTAATCATCATTTTACAGATGAGGAAACTGAGGCACAGAGAGGTTAAATAACACAGTTAATAAGATAACTTGTTGAGCCAGGATTGGAATCCAGGCAGTGTAGCACTGGTCTAAGCTCGTAACCATCCCATGATGCTGCTTATCATTACATATATATGAAAATCAAGCACCTTTAAAAAAGAGTTATTATTGAAAATAAAATGCAAATTGTTAAACTAATCTTTCAAAATGGGGATATTTTTCCTCCCATTTGTTTTGTGATCTGCTGATGCTAGGCTCTCGTGATGGCATAAGTGCTGCCTGTACAGAACTCTGGAAGCCAAATTCAGCCAAGACTTCAATCCTGGTTCCCCCACCTTTTGGCTGTGTGAATTAAGCAGATTATTTTTATATCTCTAAACCTCAATTTCCACATCTGTAAAATGAGAATGACAATCACTGAACTTCTTCTCGGGGCTGCTTTGAAGAGTTCATGAGACAAACCATTTGTCAATGTGGCCGGCAGGGTGTTAAATGGTTAGCCAATATCTTATGTTAATCATTGTAGCCACACTTTAGCAAACGAGTCAACTTTGAATTATGTGACTATTTGCTGGCTTACCTAGTAATGTTACTTTACCCTCATTACCATAATGAAATAAACAGTGGAGGACATTTTAAATTAAGAGAATGGAATTCCCACCCATCACTGTTAAAAATCAGTTTAAATTCCAGTATTTGTCATATTAATGGCTCCAACTTAACTGTCATAAACATATTAGTAATTATGGGTAGGAGTGGTAGGAGGTGATTGCAGCAGTGACCAGTACAAGGCAACACTGTTTGATGAGTTCTTCTCCTACATATTGCATAAGGACATTATAAAAGCAAATGCAATTATTATAAATGCATTTATAATACTGAAATGTTTTCTGAATAATGAATATAAATTTTATGCATAAATGTATCTTACACATTAAAAATCATGTCTATAAAGGGAATGCTTAAGCTTGCAGGTATTAAATAAAAGATAAATTTCTTATACAAATATTCCTCTAGTGAAAACAGGTCTTTAAATATGGCCAGTTCTCATAGAGATTTTACCCATTTTCAGAGCTAATCCAAGAAAAAAATCATTGTGCAATCCTGATCTCACTTTTCTTTTTCTTTTATTAGATACTTTTGCTATCTATTCGTAATACAATTTTCTCTTATACATCCAATATCTTTGCTAAACACCAATTCCAGTCCTTTTCTAGACTCTCCTATATGCTTCAGTTTTCATTCTGTGCTCTCTTTAGTGCCATACTTAACTTTGATTCTAAAATAGAGTGGGTTACTTTCAGGAAATATTCTGTAGAAAGTCATGACATGACCACATTAAGTTTAATTAATTAGATTTTAATTAATTATAAAATAGTCCTTATTCAGGTAACATTTCGTTACAATTGCATCTTTTCAGGTATGCTCATCCTAGAATCAGGATCCTGACTTCTATATTGAGCAGACTCAGACTAGACATCATTCCATACATAGCAATACCTAGAAGGGTGCCCTAGTTTGAAATTTGATGAAGACAACAAAAACATTAATTGAAAATGATTGAACTCATATTATGCAGTAAGAATTATCTATACTTTATAATACAGTTAATTTAGACGTAGTTACGGTCAACAAAATACACATACTCCGTTAATGCTTCTTCACTCCCTAAGGCTGAAAGCCTTAACCTGAGGAGGTAGTGTAGTGTAGCTGAAATTCTTTAGCATATAGATTAAGAACAAAGGTTTAAAAGTAAAAAAGAAATAGAGGTTTGTCCTGTCTCTGCTAGGAATTGTCAGTGAGTTCCTTGGGTGTGTTACTTACCATCTCTAATTCTCAGTTTCCTAATTTATAAAGTGTGGACAAAATAAACCTCCTTATAGAAGCACAGTGAGCAATTGATCAGATGATAGGAGGATAGAAAATAGTAGAGGGTCTGGATTAATCAGCATTCAATACATTCCAAATATACTTGGAATCTTGCCTACACAGGTGTGATCTGAATTTGTCTTCTTTTGGATTTTTGCTGATTTTCTTCTGACTCCTACAGATACCTATTAATATGATGTGGATATCCTTTCCTCCCGCCTTGTTAATTGCAGTAGAATCCCAATCTCTATCTGAAATTGCTGGAAGTCTAGACTTTTAACTGATATCTAAGAGCTTTTCTTCTCCCTAAAATGCCCTGAAAAAATTTCTTGTTCCAGTTTTACTTATAAAGTAGGTTTGGAGTCTGTATTGTGAGGCCCTGAGGTCCTTCAAACTCCTGGTCAGGTCAGTCTCCAGCAGAAATCATGAGTGTGGGCCTGGCCCTCTGCAGTTTCTCCTGTGTGATGGTGACAGGAATGAGGAATGCTGTTTTCTCTTGCTTGGTTATTTTGTTTTTGTTTTATTCCACATTTTATTTCATGTGTATATGAATTTGAAAAAGTTTTCATAGATAAGCAAATCCATAATATTTCTTGTGAAACTTTACTAAGCCCTTTTTCTCTGCCTATAATCAATGACATGATTTTACCATTTTACAAAACCAGAAGTGTCTTTAACAAGGATAATGATAGAACTACATTTTTTTAAACTTACCAAGTTTTTCTGATACGATGGCCATTGAAATGTACTCATTTTATTCCATGTTCTTTTTCCTAAAACAGTCTAATGGACTCTACGTGAACACAAACTATTTTCTTCCTATTTAATTATTAACTGTGACAAAACCTCATTCTGTGTTTTTTCTTTTTTTTTGAGGAAGATCAGCCCTGAGCTAACGTCTGCCACCAATCCTCCTGTTTTTTGCTGAGGAAGAGTGGCCCTGAGCTAACGTCCATGGCTATCTTCCTCTACTTTATATGTGGGATGCCGGCCACAGCATGGCTTGACATGCGGTGCATAGGTCAGCATCTGGGATCCGAACTGGTGAACCCCAGGCTGCCAAAGTGGAACGCGTGAACTTAACTGCTGTGCCACCAGGCTGGCTCCTCATTCTGTGTTTGGTTTTTTTTTTTGAGGAAGATTATCCCTGAGCTAACTGCCACCAATCCCCCTCCTTTTGCTGAGGAAGAGCGGCCCTGAGCCAACATCCATGCCCATCTTCCTCTACTTTATACATGGGACGCCTACCACAGCATGATCTTTGCCAAGCGGTGCCACGTCCACACCGGGGATCTGAACCAGCAAACCCCAGGCCACTGAGAAGCGGAATGTGTCCACTTAACCGCTGCGCCACTGGGCTGGCCCCTCATTCTGTGTTTTTAATGGCATTTTAGCTACCATTCTAAAATTAGATTGAAAACTAACTTTGTTAAATTAAATGCAAAAATTTTATTGACAAATAACGATGTCCAATTAAAATAGGAAAAGAGGAAAGCAGATCTTATTAATCATAGTGTGAAGTTAAAATTCTCACTGAAAGTTTTGAAGAATGAGAGAAGAACACATAACCATTTAGTTAAAAACGTTAAAAGTATGGGGTCGGCCGGATGGCGCAGTGGTTAAGTGCTCATGTTCCACTTCGGTGGCCTGGGGTTGGCTGTTTCAGATGCTGGGTGTGGACATGGCACTT